ACACGGTCAACTGAATCTCGAAAATACAGTAAAAGAAATGCGATAAATAAGAATGATATACATTTCTCAAAACAACTGTTATTTTAAAAACAAAATCTCTTAATTAAGAAAAAAAAGCTTTAAGTATAAAAAAGTTTGTTCAACATATTGGACGATTGTACTGAAAGGGTTAAGTAGTCGTTCATACATATTAAAAAAACAACACTTTTATAAAATTTTTAGCGAATTACATATGTACATTTTCATAACCTTCACAAAGTGCACGCAAGAAGCTTTAATTGTGCTATTGTGAAGCGAAAAATCGGATCATTAAAGAAGCAGAATTTTCAAACTATTATCAACTAGTGTCTAGTTCCTACAGCTTTAAATAAATAATTGGGTATTATTATTGAGAGTCTCCTGAAGAGAAACAGAGTTTTGCGACCTAAAAATGTTGATGTTCAAGAATTCTATACCATTTCTACTACGAAACTTAAAATACAAATTGCCTCGGACAAATGCCATAATATTGGACATTTATTTGCATAAGCATCTTTTAAATCATTTATAAAAAATTTTTGCCAAGATGCAGTCCTGATCTACTGAAAAGTCTGACGTGTGCGCAGACTTTCTACTTTGAACGCGATCGGGCTGCTCTTCCAACTATTTAGTCTTCCCTGATACATCTCCATGTGATCAAAGCGAGCCCGACTAAAACGGCGACCAATAGAGAATGCGGTGTGCGGGTGCTCTTACACTAGTTGGTTTTAAAGTATCGATATTATAAATGTATAGACTGAGAGCTATCGAACCCAACGAAAGTATGGCTCCATCTAGTTAGACCACATCTAAATATTTAGGAAAAAAACTATGTATATGCAATCGATTGGTCATCGATCAGTCAGGATTGGTCACTAATTTTCAACGTTGTGTAATTAGCCGGTTTTTTAATTGAATCATCGTAAATGCTTGGATGTCGTACTAGCACATACAATTTTCCACCCCCCTTTTTCGAAAATAAAATAAATAAAAAAAAACGACGAATGGCGATGTTTTTGATCCCAATTATTGGGATAATAATTATTTTGGGTCTCTGATATATGTATGTACTTATTTACATCCATATGTATGTACGTACCATTAAAAAAACTATAAAAATTCGTCATTAACATTAACATTTGTCACTTTACGATGAATTCAAAATACTTACGCTGGCAATTTCATGCAAACAAAGCAGTTTCCCGTTAATTGACAGCATTTTCCTTTTTTATTTCATTGTTGCAAATGCATGAGACAATTTAAATTGTAGACGAAAAAGCCATAACTTGCGCCATACTGCCCACATTGGCCACATGCAAGTTGAGTGCTACTAAAAAATCATTAACTATCTTCATAATTAATACTGACACTATGGTTAATACATGAATGTACATAAATATGTATGTATATATGTACAATGTATATGAAGGCATACGAGCGGAGGAGTTGCGTAAGGCGAGAAGGAGTAGAAAATTCCAAATGCACTTAAAGTGCCATAAATTTGAAATTCTTTCTTTATTACCAGTGTCTAAAGAGCTACTTAAGTGACACCTCCATGCAAAGTGGTGCACAGTAAATGCGGAAAATAAAAGCAAATGCAACATGGAAGACATTGTGGCAGCCAAGCAAAGTGCAGTCCTAGGCATTTCGGTGATAGAATTTTGTCCTAAAAGCAGTAAGCTGATTTGTGGCTTTCGTTTAAATAATTTACTAAACTAAAATCTGTGATAACACTGCAGAAAAGTGATTTTAATTGAATTTGTACTTTAGACCGGGGTTCCCAAACTTTTAAATTTTAATGTGACGAATGAAATTTTTCACTGTTATTAAATATTGCTCTATAGTTCGATATTTTCTATGTCTAAAAGCTGTATGCGCATTTCGGGGGTAGCATCCAATTTCGACCTGAATCTGGTTTTTGTATAAGCGTAAGCTGAAAACCCTGTTAACAGAGTACGTTGTGACAGAAGGAAGCCAGGTTAAGGTAGTTTTTTTGGCTTGTTATTCACACCTAGTACTAACCCAAAACTCGTTCAGAGACACAGACTCAAATGTGTGTTTCAGTGTCGAAGTACTCTGAAGATCTAAGAATGCTTCATAAATGGGTTTTCCGAAAAATAATGTGACAAAGATCTCAGGAGATTTACCAAGTGCCCCGTTGTCACATTTCACTTTTCATTTGACAATTCATCGCGTTTCTTGTAGAAAGTTGTATAAAAGTGGGAAACATTCAATGCTCTTTTTTCCATACAGGTAATCCAGAAATTAAATTTACTTTCAAAGGATGATAATTTCTCTCCCCGAAAAAAAGGCTGTTGAAAAAAAAAAAAATCTCAAAAAATTGTTTGGGACATATAGCAGGCGCACAGTGCCGCGAAGGTGGACAAAAATACAAA